GAAGTGTGACTGTATATATGAACTACACTGTTGCTGTCTTTTGTACCTAAGGGCATCTTGAGGCAACCCATGGCCTGCTTCTCCCTGTCCTCTCCCCATTTAAAAAAAAAAAAAAAAAAAAAGAGAGAAGATGCTAAAAATTATTTTGTAGGCAATTTCCACTTCTACACATTCTTAACAAAAGTAACCCTTCCTAAACAAAAGCTTGTATCAGTTTCTATAGGCAGTCACAAAGCACATAAGATGTAAAAAAGTATCCTACTCATGGATGCATTGAACTGTCACATACAGCACATATGCTTGGGGAACTCTTCTGTATGCACCATGCCAAGAAAGCCCCAGTGATCGTAAGAGAGGCAGATACACTACTTAAACAGTAGGTGACTAGTAAAATTGACAGAACTACAATATTGCCCAAGTACAACACAGAGGGCATAATTTACCCATTTCCAAAAGATGTGCAACAAAATGCCTTCCCCAACTCGTGCTTCAAGTAAGCAAATTTTTCTTTACCTATGTATTCTATTCAAAGAAAAAAAAAAAGTAAAGATCTCTTGCTGTGGCAAGGTTGAAAAATCTTATTTGAGTGCAACACCTAATTTTGAAGAAAACATCCTGAGGTGACATAGGAATGACAATAAAACAAATGATCCAATGGTATAAAAAAGTTGTAGCAATATTCCCCACAGCGGTGGCTCAGACTACAATTCTATCTGTACAGCATTTACTACCAACGTTGAGGACAAGTTTTCCAATGCCACCACAAATATAATCCCCTGCACACTAAAGAGGTTACAACATGTCTGCATTTAGGGGGCTGGGGAGGCGGGATGTTTCTTGACTCTCACCCTGTGCTACCAGAAACCAGTTCAAAACCCTCCTTTGGCTGAAGTTTAGGGGAGGAGGAAAGAAAGAGGGATGAGCTTGTCACCAATGGTGTTTCCCACCATAGGTGGGTGGATGTTAGAGCACCGTATCTCTACAATTCTTGATTAACCCATGTGATTGCGTACTAGGAGGATTAGGATGGCAGAGCAGAGCAGAAAAAGGGGATAAATTCAGGCTGGTGGAAAAGAGAAGGAAAACAGGCAACAAAGCCATAGGGTTAAAAAGACTGAAAGCCAGCGATGGGAAGGCAGGAGTCATCTCTTTTCTGCATCTACAGCCCCCTTCCTCCCCACTTACATGGAATGAATCTGAGTCTCTCCCTTTATCCTTTTTGATACGGGAATCATCCCCCACTTCTGTCTACACTGCAAAAGTAAGACTAAGCTGGGGGACATGGAATGGAGGGATCTGTCTTCTGCATCCCATGTAACACTACACCCCTGCTGCAGCACGAATAAATTCAAAAAATGTTTCAGTGAAGAACAGACTATTCACTTGTTCCACACAGTGCAAGAAACAAAACAAAAAAACCAAACCAAAGCAAGAAAACAATACATGTAGAGAGGCATAAAACTACAGCTGTCAAAGAACAGATTGTTGATTGGCACATCAGGGTGGACAGAATCTCTGCTCAGAAAGGCCAAGAGTTAGACTGAACCAGTAGCACCACCATCTTCTGCTTCTGAGAGGCTCAACTGATTTTTACAAGCACTGCACATACACCAAAAATGAGAAAGTTAGCCTTAAGCTACAAGACAGGCATTTTCTATGACCCCCAGCACAGCAGCAGAGAGCAATCCCATCTGTGGTATTAAATGGAAAAGCTGCGTCACCTCTTCCTGTCCCGTTCCCATATTTGCAACAGGATTACAAATCAGAATACTGACATGAAACTGCCTGGGTCTTCTAGACAGTGCTATCTACAGATGACCAAAAGACTTGGAAAAAAAACCTCCAGAGAAGTTTTAGCACAATTAAAATATCATCCACTCTGTCCTTGTAAACAGTTCTGTTTCCATCAAACTCACTGCCAGTGTTGCAACAAATTCTGCTCATCCTCTCTGGTCCTGAAGGAAATTCCCTTTGTCACTGATATCTTTCAGAGCCTCTATTCAACCTCCAAGCTCCCTGCTATCCTTCCCTTGACATAGGGCTTCTGGAACCATTTTGTTGTGTGTGTTTTGACAAAAACAAAACATATACTGTTCAAAGGTCATGAAGCACTTCCCCCGAACTTTACAAGGAAGTTTTGCCTATTGCTTTAATCCCATCCCCTCTTCCAACAAAAAAAACCCCAAAAAACCCAACCAAACAAACCAATACCCACAAAATGCAAGGAGAGCTACCACTATTGGTTCACCTAAATTTTAGGGTGGAACACAGATTATCTGCCTGTGCTCAGCAACATGCTGGAATTATGTTTAGACTTGCAAGCTTTGCTTACAGGACTGAGACAGACAGGGAGGTCTAGCACTCGATTGCTACAAGTTTTAGCCTGAAGCTAAAGCATTGTATTTGCATTACATATGCCTCAAGAGTACATAAGTAGTAATGCATTTTTTTTTCCTTAAGCTAAGTGAATTGAATCCCAAAGCACTGAAACAGTACCCACTTAATACAAGAATATATTGTGCTTATCTGATGAAATATTCCCATGGACTTTCTGTAAGTGAAAGTAGACAGAGGAACCCTACTGTGTTCTTTTCAGTAAGTAAGAGCAACTTGATTGACAGAAAACATCCTCAAATTACTTTTTCATTTCTATTTAAGAGATTTTTTTTTTTCTAGTCTTTTCCCATAGCGAGTCTTTGGTAAGCACTGTTAAGTGCTCTGAATGACATTTATAAAGCGAGGCTGGCCAGGAGACAAGAAGCCAATTTTGTGACAAAGTGAAGCGCTCAGACATTTGTCTTCCTTCTACATTAGAAAGGAAGAAATGCCTTTCAGAGCATAAATAAAAAGCAAGAAAGCACTTACCTAGGAGAATGAAGTTCAAGTCCCTGTTCCAAATCAAGTCAACTTAAATGTTAGCATCCCATATGGATGGCAATTGCTCTTGATATTGAGCAACTAGCTACTCAGAATGCTCTGAAGGGCAAGAAATTCCCCACTGAAGCTAACAGATCTTCACTGAAATATGCCACAAGTACACCCTTTGTGAAACTCTTCCAAGAAGCAAACATTGCTCACTAAGAGTCAAGAGGTACAGCACACACAAAAACCTTCCTGAACTCAATCCACCTCCCTTCATTGTATTCAAAGACCAGGAATAACGTTCAGTTCTACAAGTGATCAAATCCAAGCCGTGGAAAACATTAATCAATTCTGAAGCTAAAAGTGATCCAAAAATAAATCACTACCCATCTTGCACTATAGGATAATCATGATCTGAGTGCATCAAGAAACAGCAGTTAAGACTGTAGTCACAGTCACAGTCTACAGCTACCCAGTATGACAATCTGAAGTTCATAGCTATGGCATACATCCATAAACAAGCTCCTTTTTAAGATTTGTGGTATGTTAAGATCTTAGTGTCTATCTACTGCACAGGTATAGCGACAACACTAGGAAAAAAAAACAACTACACTTTCCCAGCATCACTGCAAAACCTAGACTCCTAGTCCTCAGGAGGAGCACAATACATCCTTTCTTCCTCCTCCTTAGTTTTCAATCATCTTTTACATACATTTATAACTGTAACAGCTGCAAACTTCACTTCTGTTAAAACACCTGTTACAATAGCCTTTATCTCATCCAATTCTCACTGTAGTAAAACAATGTATCAAATACAAAGAAAACAGGCAGAATACCAAACAATATGGAAAAGTGTACATAATTAGGAATGCAAGGAAAAGTAGCAAACCTAAAACAGCATCCAACAGTTCACAAAGAATGGAGTGGCTTTCAGAGGGCTGCCAATATTTGCAATTCATAGGGTTTTCTAGAAATCATAGAACATTTCCAAGAGACAGTGGCACTTTGACTAGGCATGTTTACCACAACGTTGTAAGTTCATATCCCCTTCAAAGAACCACAGAATGGCTGAGGTTGGAAAGGACCTCTGGAACTCATCTTGTCCAAACCCCCTGCTCAAGCAGGGCCACCTAGAGCCAGGTGCCCAGGCCCATTTCCAGACAGCTTTTGAGCATCTATAGGCCCTTGCAGACTTGTATCCAAGAGGTAAGAGCATAGACAGCATTTCTTAGATTTCTCAGTTCTTTTTCTTTTAATATTGCTAAATTTAATTTAAAATTTGATCATGATGGAAAACCTGAACTGATGGAAACAATTAAGAACCTATGGGCTCGCCTCTAAAATATAAAGTTTCCAATATTCTGAAATAACAGAACTTAAAGCAACTGCTTGCCATCTTTGATTACAAGCAATTGCAATAGATCCTTCTTTTTCAGTACAGAAGGTAGACAAAGAACCCACTTTCCTGTGGATATTTCCAGCCACAAGCAACTTTCTCCCTCCCATCACATATGACTGTAGTTCAACCTATCATCCAGGCAGGACTCCACAAGAGGAAATTCTGTGTCTGCATCAAGAAGAGCAAACTCATCTTCTTCACTCAATGCACATTTTGCTCCTATACATGTCAGCTTTTTTTTTTTTTTTTTTTTTTAAAAGCAGTGTATTCACATCCTGGCCGATATGCTTTAAGTGATTCCCCGCACCAAAAAACAAGATGGCTAAAAATGAAATGAAGCAGCTTCTGTATAGAAAAAGTTATATTTACAGTTTTATTCAGCAGAGTTAGAGAGTAAACAATTTTAACACTGTTGTTGAAAAGTGTTTTTACCCAAAGTTGCCAAGACATAATAAGTTATTGAACAGAAATATCAGGCGTAAGGCAATAATCCTGACCAACCCATTAGAGACCACTCTGTCCCCAAAGAGCAGAGCTGATAAAGGCGGTAGAAAATTTAGACTGTTTGACTCAATTTTCAAAAATTAGACAGAGATGATGAAAACAGGGTTCCACTCGAGTCTATCTTTAACATCTGCAGATGAAGGAATTTCTAAAGCACGCAAAATGCAAAGACAATTCCTGTTTCCAAGGGAACATTCAGTGCTTTGAATCCAAGAATGCTATGTCCATACACAGTGGTCAGTACATGACTATGGCAACACACAGATGGTAAAAGATTAAAAATAGGATTAGAATTTTTTCCATTCCATGTCATCAGGAGGATTTACTTCTACCTTCCTTTTACCAACATCAGACCAGTTGGTACTCAGAACTGTGCCTCCAGACTCCATCTGCAATATGAGAGAAAGGTTGTTTAGCTTGCTAGAGGAATTCTAGTAATAAAAAAGACACATTTCTTACAGCAGATTAACAAATTCTAAAGAAAGGCGAAGAATGTAGCTTCATGTAGAAGCAAGTTACACAGGAATTCTGTGTATATATAGAATAAAATGTGACAAAGCCATCAGTCCGTAATCTTCAGGCCAACAATACTTTTATCGGTACTGGACACAATGAGATGTTACTACATTAACAAGAAGCTTTTAAAAGGTCAGTCAGGTTCTTGCATATGAGGGCTACAAATAAAAGGAACCAGATATAAACAATTAAAAGGAATTTGATCCTTTCACTCATGGTAACTATTCAAGCTCTAGATGAGCCAAAAACATGTATCTCCTTTGATGACACTGATTTAAACAGAGACCAGTGACAAAGCACAAGCTTCACTGAGACACAAACTTGGTCTTAGTCACATTCACCAGAGCTTTCAGAGACTTGTTATACCAATTATCTCCAACAGAACCACTGCCATTCGTTATAGGCCTGAGGTTTTGGTAGATAGAGGCTTCCCAGTTCACACAAAGCTTAGTAAATTGTGTCAGTGTGCAGAAGTTACACATTTCTTCAGAGAAGAGAGTGAAGACTTACAAATGATTTGTTCATGGCACGTTTCACTTCATCTGTACCATCTGAATAAATCTGCTGAAAGAGTTTGTTTAAAGCAGCATCTCCTTCTAACTTCTCATTCTTCTCCTCTTCTTTGATTTCAACTACCAGTTTGTCCCAGTTCCTTGTATAGTGAGAGGATGATGGATACAAGTGCTGGGTATCTGAAAACAGAAGTGAGTTAATGAAACATTTTCTCACGCCTTTTAGAGCAGCAGAGAACATATAGACACATATGTATCTGATGAATCAGAGATGATAATGGAACACGAATCGGAAAACGCAATTGGATTCCTCCTCATTGATATAAGCATTGCAGTAACAAAAATAACGGAAACTAAGAAACGTTAGAGACTAAAAAGTAAACTTTTGCAGCTGATGAATTAAGTAAGCAGTAACATAATTTAGCTATCCAACAAAAAAAAAAAAAGTAGGACAACAGCAACACAAATAATTAAAGTCAAAATGAGGCTGAAGATATTGGCTGACAATAAGAAAAATAAAAAAGCCAGCAGTGTAGAGCCATAGGAAAATTTGAGCTAACTTTAAAAAACTATATGAAATCAATAAATCAGGAAATTCAAACTCTCTCAAAGACAGATTGTTAATTTGTCTTGAAAAAACTGTGAGAGTATTACTTTTCAAGAGAGACTGAATACTTAGTAATAATTATTTAAGGAACAACAGAGGCATGACAATGCATAGAACTGCAAAACACTGAGCAAAACAGATAGCCAAACAGAAAAACCCAAAAGAATTAATGACAAGCATATATCCTTAACAATCCATCAGACTAATGGAAGTTATGACTAAATTTAATACATACGTTTTAGTAAAGCACTACAGACTTTTTCTGTCAGTTCTTGCCAGTAGAAACAAGACTATTACATTTTTCATTGTATATATGAAGCTGTGATTTTATTAACAATATTTAACACAAAAATATTATTAATAACTGCAAATAACTAAATATACCATTTAATACTTAATAGTTCAGAGAACAAACCTGGTGTAAATTGCTTTAACTTAGGAGAATCTCCTTGTCCCTCCAGCTTCTCCCATCTTACGGCCTCTGGCTTCTTCATTTTTATCTCAACCTAGAAAAAACACAAGACAAAGAACAAATTAATCCAGATGGCAAACAGTTCTGCTGAATGATTTCAAAGTAGCTGGATCTTGCAGCAGTAAGAAAATAAATAAATTTGTTTTTAGAAATACAGCCTCTAATATGAAGCCTGTATTTTAGCAAAACTTACCTACCTTAAAGACATAGTTATATAACTTCAAGAGATGTCAACTAAGCTCTTATACAGCTGCATAGCTCTTGTATCAGAATTTTACCCTTTCGATTAGTACCACTTACTTTCTTTTGCTTACCAGTCACTTGATTCTTTTTGTAAATTTTAGCATGCCAAACATCATGATCAGTCCCAATGTCTCTGTACTGCCAGGCACCAAAGTATTACCTTTCAAGCATCCCTTTCTTGCCAAACAGCTCTAATGATTAAATAGCACTTTTGAAGGACTGCAAAATCCAACTTTATCCAGGTTTACATATCATCCACCAAAAAAATTCATATTTGATGTGTAGTACACAAATCAGAGAAACAGCCTGGGACTATACAGATCTTCGTACTGGAGAAATTTAGAAGCTGTATTCATTTGGTTCAATGAACACACACTTCTATTGAGAAAACTTTCTAGTATTTATTGACAAAACTGGCAATTAAAAATGGATATGGTTGCAATTATCATAGGAAAAACAAAATTAAGTGAGGTATGTCATGCCCTGTTCGGAACTACACATAATCCCTTTAGACAACCACATTGAAATCTTTTCTTGTAATTAACCTTATCCTTTGGTTACAGGGTTACAAAGTTGCAAAACAATGTGTGCAAAACAAGGACTGTCTAACCTCACTCCAAATGACAAATTCACTTAAAATGCCACAAAGTTCATGTGATGATATTAATTAACTGAAATCAGTCCTTGCTAAACTTCAGCAGTTCTTTATTTGTGAACAACTCAGCAGAAGCAAGTTCTTAGTTCTACCTAAAGCCACTGTAACCTGGGGATCCCTGCAGACCCAAGAACAAAGGCATCACTGTAAAAGCCAACCCTAGAGATCCTAGCAGCAAGCTCCTTGCACAGCATCATGTTGATCTGAAATTTGAACTTTATTTAATCCATTCTTCAAATCAGTCAGTGGTAAGCCACAGACTCAGATACCTTTTAAAAATAAAGAAATGAGCTCATTTAAGTCTCAAAGCTTCCATGTTTGCAAACATGCTGCATTTTAAGAATCAGAATATTCAATTATGATTGCTTCCTTTTATTTTTTTGCCCCTGGGGAAGCTACCATTTCCCTAGACAAGTGAATATTTATTTTCCACCACTAACTTGTACTAAATAACAAAAAGGTGAAGACATGAGGCAAGGAATGCCCTTCAAGGCAGGGAAGAGTTTCAGTAAGCTTGTTAAGTCCAATACCCATGTGTATTTGACTTCCCACTCCCTGTGTGTGTTTAATTTCCAGTGTTTTTAGCAACTTTACAAGTCACAAATTAAGCATCAAGGTATCCGTTTTTTAAGTAGTTAAAGTCACAGAACCAAAGATAACAAAATAAAATACTGTATTACTCCAGTTGTTCAATTTACTGTACCTAAAGAAGGCTTGTATTCCACAGTTTAATACTGCAATCTGTAAGGACACAGAGATTTCTGTCAAAACTATGCAGAAGTAGCAATCAAACTGTGCCAATAATTAGTCTTCAGTAAAACTAAAGTCAGTAAAGCTTCCTTCACTGGACTTTTTAAAAAACACTTTGGAAACTACAATCTTGAAGTTCATCTCTGAATGCCTATGCCCAAATCTAATGCTCTGCGATTAGCTTAAGGAAGCTAAAATATTTGTATATTTATATATAAGACAAACAAGTAGTTCCACGAGTGCCAGAACTAGCAGGTTGTGTTTTTTCCAATGGATTTAGATCTCATGAGTCAAACAGTTAATTAGCCACTTATAAAGGCACTAATCAGTTAGAAGTGAAATGTGAGTATTAATTTAGAACAACTTGTCCCTCCCTTGCTTCCTATGTAGCTCTTTCTCAACCTGAGGGAACTGTGTTATCAATTCAGTTGCACATTTACATAGAGGAGGCTTGATTTTATACTCTGCTTATTACTGCATCCCCCCATATGTTTTATTAAAAAAAAAAAAGACAAAATGCTTGATACTTAGACTGCTCAACCCTACACCTCTTCAATTTCTCTTCTGTTTGTTTACTCCTTCGCCATCTCCTCTTACCCTTATGCTTCAGGCTTTCCACCAGTATATCTCAGTATCTCAAACACAGACTACTTCATACACACCAGGAATGACCTCTAATGCAATATAATGCTCAATGTGAGTTACTAAGCATGGACTTTTTTCTTCTCAGAATACAATCCTCCTCAAAGAAACCTTATAAAGACCTTTGGCTATTCAGCAGAGTACTCTGCCCATGCATAAAAAGAAGAAAAAAAAGTAAGATCTTCACTTTTGCTGTTCCACTAATCCTCCTCTCCTTTTTTAATGTGCTGGTTTTTACACTTCCCTCTCTGAACTGTCCCTAAGCCAGTACTACATGACAAACATCCCTAAGGAAAAAGAAACGCTACAAACTAATTCCCAGTGTAAGATTCAGATTTCTTAAATCTAAACCATTTCAACCCTGCCAAGCTGGAAGTACAGACAGCTGAAAAACTGAGACAGGAGCTATTTATGACATGATTAAACCTCTACCCCATCTACTCCATCCACTTCAGTTGAAGTTACTCATTGGGCAAAGTGGTAGGCAGAAACAAAACTAGGGAAATCATTAGCTGTATACCATTATACAACCACACTTTTCAAAAATATAAAGCTATAAAATTCTGCTTGTGAAAGGCCCGGATTTCTTCGACTTGAGAGCTTTATTTGATCTATGGAGAACCAACTTTGTGAGTCCCAATTACGTGCACAAACGGCAATAAATGCATTTTAATGAACATTTTAAAGTGGATACTGACAGCTATCAAACAGACAAGTAACAGATCAGTACAGACATTTGTGTCATAACACACAAGTACTGTTAGCTTTCTCCTCTCCTGTGAAAAAAATTCAGTACTCAGGCAAGAGAAATACATCAACACTTTGCCAACTACTTTGATTCAACATTTATATTTCATAAAACGCATGCCTCTGTGCCTCATGCCAACTTTAGAATAAAAGACAGGAAACATTAATTGCAAATTAAAAGCTCTGCATGCCACTTAAGGACAAGCCTAATTCCTCAGCTTCTCCTTGTAGCTCATGCTGTGCAGCCACCTGAATATCTCGGTAGCCCTACACTAGGAATTGCTCCACTATGCTAGTGCCCTTCTTGCACTGGGAAGCCCAAAACTGGACACAGATGACGTATAAAAAGTTCCCACTCAGAAATAATCCACTTTCTATTGTAATTTTTAAGTTCCTGGTATTTTGGGCTCAAAATGAGCAAAGCAAAAAGGAAAAGAAACACGGAATTTTGACAGACTAATTAATGCACTGCTTGTTTGAAATACTGTCTTGAAAAACCTATCCCTCTGAAAAGGGGGTCGAATAGAGGATTTATCGTTTAGAAGAAACCCCATCCACAGTGAAATAATATAGAGGAATTTCTACCCGTAGACTCTTCTAGTCGTAAAAGTAATTGATTTTTAAAAACCTATCAGAGATTTAAACAGGTTTGTTTGCAGCTTGATCCAAGTGCTAGCTATCACAAAAAGATGCCACAGAGTTACTCTCAGAAGCAAGTCTAGTTCCTTTGTAGTGTAAGAATACAAAACCCCCTTAAGAGAACTGGCATAAAAGAGCATTTAATCTAGTTTTAAGAAAGAATTTCTCTGTTTAGCTACAGATAAACACAACGTTAGTTAGCTAACATTAATTTTCTAGGTAGAAGCTTACTGTTAAAAAGCCCAAACTTCTGATGAACAAAATTTCACTTTAATTTATGTTCTGGGACAGACGTTGCAAGTTTAAGTGAGAAACATTAAAAAGGAAAGAATTTTTATCTTCCTCCCTAAAAGAAGATTCTGGTGTACACTGACAAGTTACATAATTTTTTTCCCCCTAATTTCTACTGTGTTTCATATTTTACAGTCCATGCTAAGGGCAAGTTCAGTTTCCACTGACAAATTTGTGTCAAGCTCTGCTCAGATTGACGAAGGAAATCAGAACTGGCAAAGCAGTAGTTCAGCCACTCATTTTAAGATGTATCAAAAAACACCCTTTTAAATTCTGATGTCTTGCTATATTAAACACACAAAAATGAGAATTCAGGGTTTCCAATCAAATACTTAGTCATTTACTGAATTACTGACTGCTTTGTCCCAGTTGTAAACTTTAAAGTGTTTAGAGTTGTCATTTTTAAATCACCCCATGTATTTTCTTCCCTAAATTTAAGGGCAGGACAAATTAGCACTGTCTTCTAAAAATGTATGACCTATTTAAACCTACTTCTAAGATCATATGCACATACATTTTGGTATCCTAGTTCTTCAAGGACCTTTTATACATTACTTATATTCTGAATTCCAAGATCTTTGGTCCATAATTTTAAACTAAATACACTGGGATGAAAGTAACTCTACAGTATTATCAGAAATATATTATAGTGAACATATTTATTCTGTAGAGAATATATTGCAACAGAAGGGATTTAGTGCGCACTGTTCAGATTCTTTGCCAGCTATGTACTATGGACAACAGAGTGCAAAAAGGTCAAAGTTTCCACCTCACTAATACTACATAGCAACCACTTGTTAAAATTTTGAATTTTAGAGAAGGAGCTAGCAACACAGATGATTTAGGTATCCTAAAGCTCTTTGTAATCACATCCTCAATGTAGTTCTTAAATCCAACTTAAGACAGAGAAAAACCCTTATGCATAGTTTTCATTTTTGTATTTATATAAAGCATGGGCACTGACTTATATATTTGTTTAAAATATAGTTCTCAGAGTATTAACAAGTTTAAATCTGCCCCACACCCATCTGCATTCAAAAAGAAGAAAATAAAATCTAACTTATTTTGAGACAAGGAAATATTGTGCCAATCATTGCAAAGATTTCTTTATGGTCTAGCCAGGAAATTGTTCCAACTAGCCCTAAGAGATGCAAGAAATTTCAGAAAAGTATCCAACTCATATCTTAAATATCGGTTTATAATTTACAGAAAACGCTCAAGAATATATATGGGAGATATGAATCTGCATGAAAGCCTCACAGAGAAAAACAAGTACATGAGAACAGAGAGGTCTGCATTCAAGTGTCTCCAAGCGATTTAAGGAAAATACCCAAAACAAAAAAGTATCTTTTAAAGGATCAGACTGCAAGGGAAAGAACCAGCTTCAGTTAAAATAAATCTGTTCCTCTGTTTATCTATTTGCGCACATTTGCCTCTGAATAGAGACTCTGAGGACGGTCCAAGAGTGTGTGAAACAGCTTCACTCTTTGCCTTTTCCTTTACATTTAGTAACAGGCATTGGTGTGCTTTTCCAGTAAGCTACACAGAGTATTTCAGAGTTTGCAAGGCAAAATGTTCATTTGAGGAAAAGAAACATTCCACTGATGCACACTACCATATTCTAGGCATGAAGCTGCCGAGAGTGTGCTTCTACCTCAGACATCTCTATTAAGTAACAAATGTCAACAGTAAAAAGAGGCTGAGGATTTCTAACACCTCGCCTGTTTGCAGCACAACTTTGATCTCTAATTAAAGGATAGTTCTGCGGTAAAGAAACCACTTTTTACCACTTTCTCAAATGTCTCTAAATAGCTACAAGTCACCATTTGCAAAAAGCTCAAACCACTAAAAAGTAAAAACCCTCAGTAATCGTCCTCAGACTATCTGTAGATGCAAGAGCAGAGAGGAAGATAAAGAGAAAGCACTAGCTCAAGTTTCCTTCAAGTTCATAAGGACCTGTGCTAAAAGCACAGCCTCATTCTCCTCCTCTAGGTCTACAGGGAAGAAAACGCTGAGCATCACCTAGGACACAAAAGAAGACCTAGAGAAACTGCTCACGTTACAAAGTTTCCAACAGAACATGGAAGAATATTCCCCTGGAATTGCAAATACACTGATTGATAGACTGAACAGAAGAGAGAAAAGAAAGCATGGCTGACTGTGCACAAAGAACTGTTTGAGAATATTAGAAATCCTTACACCATTTGTGTACTTCTACTTTCCTGCTGTATTTTCTGGACAGAGACAGATCAGCTAGTTTTGTCTTAAACATATTTGGTCACTCATTTTCAGTTTTGATGCCTTTTTCCTTCTAGGAAGGGAGCACAGCGGTACCATGCACACCAAGCTACAGGATAACTGCACACAGGCCATTTCCAAAGAACAAACTTGCTCCAGCCTTTACATTCTGGCTCCCTCTTCTGGAAATAACTGAAAAAACAAGTAGCACCAGTAATGAGTACATTCCTCCTGTTACATGATGAATAAAACCTGCAGTTGTCAGTGTTGCACACTTTTTCCCCCCATTTCACCTGACACCTGAGCACAATTGAGGATGACCAGCACAATACACAAAATCCTATCTATTGCATACAAAGTCATGCTACATACAAAGATCAGATCAGCTTCCATTTGTAAGACACACATCTCAAGTTTATACAGTGTTTTTGGTGCTGCTGTTACTTTTCGCTTCATCAGATGACTACTACGGTAATGTTCCTCTAAGGAGTCAAGACACCTTTGACAGATGGGGAGCATAACCAATAACGTCAATTGATCTAGTTGTGAACCATCAACTAGCTATTCATGTACAAGAAAAAATGGCTGGCAACAGAGATTAAACACACATCATTCTCTTATGCAGAATGGCTATGCATGTATAGCAATTCCCTCAAGACAAGGACTCAATACAGTTGTATTCAGCAGCTTCTCACATGAACACTAAGTTGAGGCCTCAGATCATTAGAATTATATGCTGAACAAGAATGGGTAAATCTAAGTAACTCATGACTGAATGTGAACAGGAATAATAATCAAAGCTGAATTTGCAAATAGTGATAGCTATTAAATAGCAAATAAACTTTTTAATTAGGTTAAAAAATGTCTCCAAGCACAGCAGTAACACATACAGCCACTATTAAAGGCAGGCTGTAAAACTGCTGACAATTACAGAATATACAACATTAGGATGTATAATGAAAGAGATTAAGATTTTATCTCAAAACTGGACTTCACCTATGCATTATGATGTTCTTGAGTTGGCGTCAAGTGTTTTTACCTCTTCTAGTTCACAGCTTGAAGTCAAGTCTGCAGATTATGAACACTAATTTACTTCTGCTCATACAGAAACCTTTCAAACACCTCCAAACATCTATGCTGCATCTCTACCATTCACTAGTTCTGTTCTTTTCTAGATACTGTGTATTTCAGAACTAGACACAGCATGAATTTATTGAAAGGCATAATTTCTATTTCACTGCTGGAAAAGAAACAATTCCTAAGGAACCAATTGCATTTTTCACCACTGTTAACATTCCCTGAAAGAACCAATTCCAGAGTCTGTAAGTCCTGTCTGCTCTTTGCAGTTATTTTATAATTTGTAATCCTGCAAATACAATTAAGGCTATTTTCTCCTCCTGATTTTGCATCCTTACCTTTATTCCTTCGCATTTGTCAAGTGATACTGAATTTCAAGCAGTACTGAGAAATCCCTCTCCAGCTTCTCTTAGTTACCAAAACACACAGGATTGTTCTATTATATGCCAGTTTTGTTCTTTCATTCTCTATTCATTACATTAATTAGCTTTATGAAGTTCAAGGGAAACCCAAACTATCCACCATATAACCTGCCCATATATTCCACTCTGTTCCCTCATATAATTGGAAAATACAGACCAGACTCCTGATGCTAATGGCAAAGTGGCTCACACATTCAAATCAGCAATACAAAATAAAGCAGTGCGAACACATGCAGTTATTCTTATCTGAAATTATTAATCCATGAGAACAAATCTGTTCCTATCCCATGAAAACACAATTACCTTACAAGTGTGTAGTAAAAACTTCATATAATTGGGAAGCTAATGAGACTTCATCTTTCTTTCCAAGTCCTTACAAAAGGACTTCACGTAAATAGTACAAAATAATCTGTAAAGGGTTTGAGAAGTTCTAAGCAATACAATAGTTTATTCAAAGTAGTAACTGTGTATGTTCCATACCACTCATAGAATAAAGCACATACACAAAACTGTTGAAAAGAAATCTGAATTTCTAGTATTCAAACACTAAAGCCACACCATTCCTTTAAAGCACTTAATGTTTTTCAAAGTAAAATATTCTAAGCCTTCAAAGAAATCTTTGCATGCTTAACATAGATCTGCTTTTAATTTTTTTTTTTCCTTCAGTCAGACTCCATCTGCTGGTCAGAACCGGAATTAGCTGAGGCGTCATTTAAATTGCATTCCTTCACTATGCCTTCACAGATGTCCTTATACTACTGTTCTCTGCAAGAACATGCTGAAGCACTGACTTCTGCTGTTAGAACACCTCCCATGTTCTCTCTTATATCATTGTCTCTCAAAAATATTCTCTCACAATTATACAGGAACAGTAACACTTGGAAACAAACACTAAATATTTATGTTTCAGACACTGCCTGAACATAACTAAAGCTGTCACACCACTTTAGGAAGCACAACCTAAATCAGGTTCTAGAGATTAACCCAGGCTAGAGATGGAAGCATAGGAAGGCAAAGCCAAGTTCATTTCAACAGTGCTCAGTAGCATGCAGATGCTTCATAAAAATAATGGTAAACTTCAAGACAAATGAAAAGCAAAACATAAGCTAGATAGGAACACAAAGCAAACAGGGCCTCACAGTTACTCCTCTTGACAAGGTCCATGCCCATTCCACTCAAATTTATAGAAATAGTAATGGACTAGCAGATTTTCCACATACTTTGACCACTCTGTTTATCCCCCACAGTGTAAGAGTGGGCATGACTCAATCACATAACCTGTCCAGCTTCCCCTGCGTGAGGAGTGGAAAACCAAGACCAACTCTCTATGGCAACCCTCTCATGTCATCTTGAAGTCTCTCTTCCCTGAAATGATACAATAACTATTATAAGTACCTTTCTGAGAAGGGAACAGATAAAATGGAACATGAGAGCACAAAGGAATTTCCAAAAGCTCTGCAGAACCACTGCTGAAATACAAGGAAAGAATCAACAATAAATTCCTGCTTCAGAGACTCGGGCTTGGCTCTATGGACAAAGCATATGTCTGTCTATGCATTATACCAACAATACATACTATGCCAGACCATAGTCAGTTTCTTACTTTTCTATACCTGTAACATAGAAGAAACAAAATGCTGAGACAAAAGCATTCTCTCGCGCACCATGCAACTTTGAAGTGCCTCCAAGCAAATAAAATTTCCAGGAACAGCGTGGAATACACCCTCTTGAAAAGCCAAGAACAAATCAATCATACAGCTAACCTTTACCCCTTCATGACCTTTTCTTGCTGGTAAAGAATTATTTCAACAGTGAAATCCTCAAAAAGTCACTTTTATTTCTTGGGAACACAAAGATAACAGTGCTTCTTAAGGCAATAACAGCTCCTAAAAGTTTATCAGAAAGGTGTCCATACCTAATACCTGAATGGTAAGAGTGAAGACCAGTGTCTTCTTTCTACAGCAACAAGTAAAAGCATCCTCAACATAACTATTGTTTGCACTTCAGTAAGCACCATCATTTTACTATTTCTGATATTTGCACAAGTTTAGAAAGCCTCCCGCTGGCTACAAGGCAACTTGAAGAAAGAAACAGCAATTCTCTGTGAAAAACAAGGTATCATGACTGTTGCAGAGAGACAAGACAATAAAGCAGAAAAGTTTTCAACATCAGGAACAGTCAAAGAAATAATTTACACTTTAAGAAGCTTACCTTTGTTGAAAGCACTTTAAATGTACTTTGCTCTGGCACTATAGAATGAAGAAGAACAAGCTTTAAGTTGTAGTCTTCACCTGATGGAAGTCTCACTGATGCATTCATCTGTTAACAGTTAAAAACATGTCTCTGGTCATCTTTGAGAGCAGTTTTCCATTTCCAAGTAAAGGATTGTCATTTGGCACCAAGATTAAGTGATTAAATTAATGACCCTTCACTAGGGCACTTAAAGCATCAGGCGTCAGAATTTCAGACGACGCCATTACATTACTGTATTATTGAACAAGGTGTTTCTAAAGTACGCTAGAAAATGAACAGGACATTTCAATTCTTAGCCAGCAAGTACTAAAAAAGACTATTATCTTGTCAACTTGATCTGCATTCTTTGAGGAAAGAATTATATGGCAAATGAAGTATCAACATTAACAATGGAATGTGAAAACAATTTGCAACTTCCCTACTAATACACAGAAACTATGTGGCATGTGCTCACACAATTTTAACAATCTAAAGCAGAGAGTAACAACTAAGTACTTCTGGTAGTTTGCACAATAGTAACTTAGTTGAGAAGAACCACCTAACTCTCCAATATTCTCAGCTAACTTAAACGTGAACATCATCAGTACGGCATATGGTATTACACTAGATTACTGCACTTCTTTGAAATATGTATTTTGCTGCCATGAACAATTTTAGTAATACCAAAACCAAGAAAAATCCACGCACCAATATTCATTCTTTTTCTATAATTGTCTGAAAGCATGATATTCATACCTTTTTTAATACTTTGCCTCTGTCTATTCCTACTCCAGATGGATGCATGCTCAAACATTTAAAGTCCAGATCACTTCCTCCCCACCCCTCCAAATACCCAGTTAGCTGGAAACCAGCCATTCCCTTTGCAGCATGCACAGCACACTACCACTTGTATATAAATCCTATGGACACTGCTGTGGTAATAGATCCCAGTTCACTTGATTTGGCGTAAATACATATACAGAATTAACCGTACAGAAAAAAAAGCTCAGACAGAAGAGCACCTGTACCATTTTTTTCATGCTATCGCAGCAGATATGTTCACTGTTTTAATTACTAAATCTTAGGGAATCTAGGGATCCGTATCAATAACCAACACAAATCACCTCTTTCTCTGAGAACTGCACACTGACATCATCCTTTTGTGCATTCTTGATCATTATAGTCACAATTACTTGAGATTCTGTTTGGTACCAGTCATATCTGGAAAACAAAAAAAAAGAAAAACAGAAGACACACAAAATTAGATTTCTTCCCCCTCCTCTAGA